CTTCCCAAGCAGCTCCAATGATTCACACCCGTGTTACAGTTTGAGGAGCCCTGCTTTGGCCTGTCTATTTAGCAGAGACTGAACCTTAGAGCAGCAGCTGCCCAAGCACCAAAAGCTTGTAGAAATGTGAATGCGTGAGCTCAGTCTGGATCTCCCCAAACAGAAGCTGTTGGGGTAGAAGCCAGGGATGTGTATTTTAATGAGCTCTCAAGGAACTCTGATGAACAGCGAAGTGAGGGGGCCTCTGCCCTGGACATTAGGATACAAGGCCCTGGCTCACCCGGAGCCTCTTTGATCCTAAGAACTCTCTGCCCTATGCTGGTGCCGGGATGATTAAGCGAGAGCTGTGCTTGGAAGAACTTTGCAAACTGTCAGAGCTACACCAGGCTAAACGGGCAAGATCAGTTCCATGCCGCCCCTTTGGTTGATGGCAGCCTCGCAGGGCTGAGCTCACCCAATGCCTCAGTTCATGGCTCTGTCATAGGCCTTTCTCTTCATTTCATCAGTGGATGCTAATCCCCTTGTGTCCCCTCGCCATAGCAAATCATCCCAGAGAGCCCGAGCTGTCCTGGAAAGAACAGACCAATTAGAGCATGTGGATTCTACCTCCCCTGCAGATACTGAGCCACAGAGCTCTTTCTGTGTCTTCCTTATTCCCCTCAGGAAGAGATCTTTGAGGTCCCCCTTTGTTACCGAGCATATTCCAGTTGTTCCTAGCTCACGCTGTAGTCCTTGGGTGCACTCAGCTCCTCCAGGCCCTGTGGTGAGGCCCTAGCTGGTTTCAATGCCTCTGTACAGAGGCTGCTCAGGACGTGTCTGTCCATGAGCCCGTGTGTTTCCCCACTTCAAGATGGAAAAACTTGACATGTTTCCAGGGCTTGTGATCTAGCCAATGCTTGGTCTGTGAGGAAGCCAACTTAGGAATTCTTGCCTGGTGACCAAAAGTGTGATTTTAATGTCAGATACCAGCTCCTTCACCTTTGTGCCTTAGTTTTCTGATCTATAAAAACAAATCTACTTTATGGATTTGTTTTGAAGATTACACAAATGAAAACCACTTAGCAGAGTCTCTAATACATAGGAAGTACTCCATAAAGGCTCACTGTAATTTGGCCTCTTTCCTGATGTTGTAGGCAGCTGAATTAGATAGACATATCATAGGCAGCCAGATAGGGCCAGGCCCTCAAGGAGACAAGATGGAAGACAAGGTGACTTTGAAACTTGGAAGAGACAGACACTCCCATATGGGCCATGCCTCAAGACCAGGACAAACGCAGAAACACAGCTACATACTTCCCTAGGGATGGGCATCAGGGACTGAGATTCTTAAAGAGGTATCAATCACCTTGAGAGAGCCCAAATGAGCCAATAGCCCAACTCCCAACAGGGAGAGACACTGTCCCTTATTCATGCCTGCTTGCTATATGACTCAGTTCTCCATTTGGTACTAGATTTAATCAATTTTACCTGAATGATGGTGCTTGTAAATCTCATTGGTTGACTATAGTTTTGTCCCTCCTCATGCCCACCTAAGTGAGTTCCCATGTCTTCTCCACCACCTTCGACCAGCCTCACTGCATGGTTTTCCTCAAGAAAAGTCCCTGGAAGAGACAGCTTCCTCGGGGACCACCCGCTCTGGGGCCCCTTTCTGTCCCTCTCTCGGACAGGAGCTTTCTTTCTTCCCAATAAATATATTCTGTTCATAACCACCGTTTGTTTCTAAAATTCATTCTTCAGTTTTAGAGAACACGAACTTCTCCCAGGTCAGGTCAGGAGACCATTTTCCCCTATATTATTTGGAGCTTCCCTGTGTCACTGTGACTGCTTTGGCAGTGGGGATTCTCGCTGTTGGTCTCGCGTTATTGGTGCCTTTCCTCGTGCGTCTCCGACTCGAACTGGCATCTAGCATGATGCTAGAGATAACAGGGAAGGTCCTGGCCTGCGGGTGGGGGAATGCGCCAAGGCCCGGGACTGGTGTGGGGGCTAGAGAAGGGACTGGAGCCAGAGGGTCTTGTCGGGGTTGGAGTCAAGGACAGCTTCCGAGAAACTTGGGGGCAAGCGATAGGGTGGGATATACTACACAGGAGGCAGTGGGCCCAGATGTTCCAGGGTCTGGCCAGGCCTGGTGGGAAAACAGCGTCTTGTATCTGACGTATTTCTTTTATGTCTTGTATTTCATCTGTTTGTTTGTTTGTTTGTTTGTTTGTTTGTTTAAAGAAATGGGAAGAGGAGAGCACTGTCAGCTGAGTCGGGCTGTTGCGTGACATTGCTGCTCGTGAATTCTGGAGCTGGGCGTGGGGAGGGCGACCCTCGGGGCTGCGCGGGCTGCATGCACCAGCAGAGGGCGCTGCACACCTCTGCGCAGAGCTGCGGCTGTGAGAAGCCTGGAAAGTCGAAGGTGGAAAGTCCCCTTGCAATTTCTGCTCCGAGGTGAGGGCTTTCCTGACTGCAGGGACTCTGAGTGCTAAGATAGGGAAAGTGCCGGCCGAACGGAGGTGAGCTGCTTACCCTGGCAGGAAGAAGCAACCACTGAAGCGGTGCCCACAAACATAGACACACGTACACGCACGCTCACATCCAACACCTGCCACAAAGTGCACCTGCCTGCACTACACACGGCACACACGCACATCGCACGTTCGTGCACCTCCTCCCACCAACGCAGTACATGCAACACACTTGCACATGTACCTGTGCTCCACTTGCTTGCATTTATAACATGTGTGCAATGCGCAATACTATTACAACAAATACATGCAGCACAGGCAGTACATCCCGTATACACGTGGGTCATCACAACAAATACACAACATACACAAGTTACACAGTACACTATATACACACAGACATACAGCGCAAGCATACTACACACACAGTACACGCACACCTGCACACAGAACACATGCATCCACTTTGTGCCAGTCACACAGGACATCTACACCCTTCATAGATAGCACAACACATTTGAGTATGCACACACGTACCACTCGCACAATGTAACAAACGTGCGATGCTTATATGTAACACATACAAGCACATCGTACTGTGCACCAGTCATAACAAAATACACATGTACACGTGCACTACATAAACATAGGCAAGACAAATACCACATCACAACACCTGTGCACACGTATGCACACACACACACAACCCATGCACAAGATTACCAAGATGTGTATATACTGTACAAGAACAGTAACCTACAGCATGCATGTGCGTGTGACAACACACCATGCAGATCACACTTGTGCACATCACACCACATGTATAGCATATGTATGCACCAAGCAAAAAGCCACCGTACAATGAACTGCTCTACACATGCTGCACACATATACAATGTTACTTTAATATATACACATCACAACACGCAGTACATACACAACACACACATGCAGCACTTATATACAATAGACCCACAAATCTGCATGTGCATAGCATCCTTGCTTGATGCAAACACAAATAATCGCGCACATATACTCCTTTGGTAGCGAAGAACTCTCTTGTTTGAGATTCTATTTGTTTTTTGCAAAATGAAGATATTTAACCTTGCTTTGGGTGAGTGGAAAAAAGTTTCATTTAGTAATCATTTCTTTACCATCTGCTGGGCACTGGGATGTACGATACAAATTCTGTACCAACCTTCTCAGGGCTCATAGCGTGGCAGGGGAAGCAGGCATTGGACACGTGAACATATCTACGGCCATTTAGCTCCAGTTATATTGCGTGCTGTGAATTCAGACTCCAAGGTGTAGAAGAGGGTGCAGCAGGGAAGAATTTCTGGGAAGAGCTTTGCGTGGTGAGAAGCAGGGTAAGGGTGAGGGTGAGGGCCAGAAGCGCAGGGCACACAGGAGGGAGCTCACACCTCATGCTGACCCTGTGCTTGCAACCCCCAAGTATGGGTGACTGAGCAGTCAGGCTGAGAGGGGAGACTGGCCACAGAGCTGAGGTTCGTGTGGCCCAGCCCACAGCCGCTACTCTTGCTTCCAGGGAAGAGGATGTTTGCTTTCCAGGAAATGCTCTGGGCTCTGGCAAGAGCTGCGTGGGACAGGGAAGGACCCTGAGCACCCAAACTAACTGGCTGCAATGCCTGGATGCTGGTAAGCGGTCCCTCTCCTGACACTGGACAAGGGAGGGCTGGGTGATAAAGGGTGGGTCTGTCATGGGTATCTCCCAGCTTCCCTTGTGGGGCTGGGGCCACCCTGCCAGGCTAAACTACGGTCAGCACAATATTCCCCTCTTGTGCACTGGAAACTCCTCCCTTAGTCTTGCTGACTGGGGCTTTAGGCACAGTGGAGCGTAACACCTGAAGTAGGATTCCTGCCTTAACATTTGCTAGCTGTGTACCTGTGGGGAAGCCATAGGCCCCTCTGTGCCTTATTTTCATACCTCTAAAATGGGCATGATGCTAATTATAGCAGCCATCCTATAGAGTAATAAGGACTTTACAAAGAGTATAATTTAGGATGTGAGAAGCTCTTAGATTAAAACCAGGCACGTGGCAAGAGCCATATAAATGTGAATGGTTATTATTATTTTGATCCAAAACAAAAGCAAACACTAACAATAAGCTTAATATAAAAATGCTCAGAATCCGAGTGTGAGAACGGCAAGGCTCTTTAGAGTCATCTGCTCCCACCTCCTGTGTGCTACATGGGTTAAGTTGCCTGACCTGATAGTCCAGAGAGGCGGGCCAGAGCCCAGGAAAGGGGAGAGCTTGTATCAGCAAGAGCGCTGAGCCATTCCTCTCTGGGACTGTGGCTTTCACCTAGAGGACTTGTACCTACAGATCGCTGGACCCTGCCTGGGCTTTCTCACTCAGCAGCCTGGGGTGGGGCCTGAGAATCTACATTTCTGACAAGTGGCCCAGGGACCAAACCTCAGGAAGTGCTGCCCCAAGTATAGTGTAGGCAGGGTGCAAAAGGTCCGTGCCACTGACTTCGCTGCCACCTGACTGCGCGCCCATTCCAGGGAAGGGAAAGTGGGGCCTTACTTACAGTGGGTGTCGCACTTCTGGGAGGACCCTCTGCAGGGGTAGGCGGGAGCTGAGTGCCTTGTTGAGGCCTTGCGAGTCCAGGCTGAGCGGGCTCAGCGCCTCTTCTTTTGACACCTGCCTATCCTCCTCCTCAGTCCCCCAGCCCCTCTCTGGGGCTCCCTCACTCTGTCTCCTCAGGTGCTTGATGAGCCGGTAGCTGCCGCCTCGCCTGCCCTGGCTTTGATTCCTTCGGGCCCTGGGTGAGGCCACAGCCACCAGAAGCTGATCCTCTCGCAGTGAGATGAAGGGTGGCAGGTCCTCCAGGAGGCCGTACTCCTCCTCTTCCTCCTCAGCCCCTACTACCCATTCCTGGGAGTCCCCGAAGTCCAGGCGGTACCTGGCTTCGGAGCTGCGCTTGCTGGCCTGGGCTGTGACAGCCTCGTGCGGAGTGGGAGGGGGAGGGTACAAGACGGCCACTAGCATCAGGACACATCCCAGCATCAGGCACAGCAGGGGGAACTGGCGTCTGCACGGTGCGGGCCGGTACCGCTTCTTCACCAGCATGTTGCTGCAACCTTCCAAGAGCAACAGGTCATGTTCAAGTTGCCTTCTCGAGCTGCTCCAGGGCTCTTCCACCGCGCAGCACCTGGGTTCTTCGTTTTCCCCGGAAGTCCTTTAACTAGTCACTTAAACCTGCTCCTTTTCTCCCATCTGACATTTGCCAATAGCCTGTGTGAGACCTGCTTCCACTTCAGGTCAGAAAGCCACAGGACCCCCCTTGCACCTGGGCTGAGTGGATTTCTTTAATTGCCTGCTGAAAGCCTGTTGTTCACAGGGACTTGAAATTAAACTGCTTGCTGCCCCTTCGCCCCATTTTTCTCCTTGGGATAAGCAAGCAGTCCATTCTGCTCAGGGGTTCAGTCCCACGTGTGTCTTCCCCCCTTTGCATCAATGGCCAGCAGCGAAGTGATGACTGAGGAGAGCCGGGCGATTCTCAGTCAAGCAGAGCTGACAGCCGTCCCTGTTTGGACGCTTCAAGTTAGGTCAGATCAACAGATGCACAGGCGGCAGGCAGGCAGTGCCTGATTTCCCTTCACACATTGCCGTGCTCAGTGGCGAGCCCTCTGCCAGGCATAACCCGCAGCCAGGAGTGCGCCGCGCTCCTGGTCCTAATGCCCGCACTGTTCCAGCTTAGCACACCCGGACAGCGTCACTGCTAAAACTGGATCAAAACAGGAACATCCCAGGAGTTCAGCTTTGTGGCTCATTCTTAGGCAGACTGCTTTCCCCACTCAAAAGGGCAGGAAAGAGAATTCCCTCCTGATTCGGAAAGGCTGCGTGTGACGCAGAAGTGAGGAGCTTGCTGTCTGCACGGCAGCTCCCACCGGCCATCTGCCAAGCTAGAGTGGGCCCTCCTTCCCTTCCAGGGCACCATTGTCCTTGTCCTTCTGAAAGTGAGGAGGGTGGAGGATGCTCTCTAAGCCCCTCCCACCCACACAGGATTGCCTGAGTGCCTACTGTGTGCCAGCCACCAGAGCACGCTCAAGGGGGGGTGTGACATGCTCTTTTGGCATTAATTCAAACCACACACTTGTTAGGCACATCTAGGATGCAACTACACTGCTCCGGGGCCTGGGACTACATCAGTAAATAAAGCAGAATTGTGCCTACTGGAGCCGACGTGCTAGTGAATGAAATAGACAGAGAATTATTTAAAATACACAGTGGGTCAGATGGTAACAATGGTTAAGGAGAAAAAATTAAGCAGAGAGTGGCTCTGGGAGCATAGGCTGGGTAGGGGTCAATGACCTTGGGTGGTGAGAGAAGGTCCCTCAGGGGAGCTAGCATCTGAGTAAGGAGGTTGGCTATCCAGCTGGCTGGGGAGGAACATTTTGGGCAGAGAGAGAGGGGAACAAATGGAAGGCTTCTGTGCCTGGCATGAGGAGCAGCAAAGGCCAGGGTGACTGGAACAGAGCGGGCAGCGAGTGTGACAATAGATGGGATGAGGGATGGGGATCCAGGTGGGATGTGTCTATGAAGGATTCACTGGAGGGATGTGGCTTCTCCTCTGAGTGAGGCAGGTGGGAGCCTTTGTAGGCTGTGAGCTGCGGACAGACTCGAGCCGACCTGGGCCTCAACTGGACCACTTGGGAGGTTAGCCCCTGGGGAGCAAAAGGCAGAAACAGAGGCCAACTGAGATGCCATTGGCTTGCACCAAGGTGACATCATGGTGGCAAGAAGTTGGAAGTTGTATTTTTTTAAGGAAAGAATCGATAGGTTTTGCTGATGAATTAATACTTGATGTGAGAGGAGCAGGAGTCAAGAAATGTTTTCCCCCCATAGTTTTATTGAGAAACAGACAGCAATGAGACAGTTTCAAATCAAATTGATAGGACAGCTTCAATAATTAACACATTGATTACTGTCTTCCTAGTAGTTATTTGTTGTACAAGGTGCAGACATGATATCCTATTTACAAACACTATTAGAACAAATCCCTCTATTCATTGAATCAAGGGAATGTAGCTATATATCTATCCTAATCATTCTGAATACACAGATACAAAATGGCCATTCATCTGTATCCCCCTTTTTTGTTCAGTTTTATCATTTAAATATTATAGGTTTAAGATTTTGGTCTGAGAAGTTGAAAAGACAGAGTTGTGATCAGAGATGGGAAGGTGAGGAGTCGATATACAGAGGGGAGTAACAGCGGTTCATGTAGGGACAGCTGACACCGGAGGCATCCTGTAGACAGCCAAGGCCAGGTCTTGGGCTGACAGCAGGATACAGTGTTATTCTAGCTGGCTGTTAGATGCCTGCCTTGCAAATGCAAAGTTAGATGCCCAGCAGCACCAGGATGGTGTTTGCAGCCGGGAGACCCAAGATCACTGAGAAAGTGAAGGAGACAGGGAGAAATTCTAGAGCTCTCAGGCTTTTGGCTCTCATGAGCTGACGGAGAGCCGCTTATGTTATTGTAAGCTGAATTTCTTCCGATGGCTAGGGAACAGAGTGACGAAACCACCTTTGGAGAATTTCTGCAATTAACATTTTCATTGCTTCCTGGATTTATTTATTTGTTTTTGTTTGTTTGTTTGTTTGTTCTTTGATACAAGGTCTCAATACATAGCTCAGGCTAGCCTCAAATTCACAATGATCCTCCATCCTCAGCCTCCTGAGCTCTGGGGTTACAGACATGCATCACTACACCTGACTGTATTTTGATTTTGGTCTTAGAATGCGAACTCAAAAATTTCAGAGAGAAGTGCCAGCCAAATAGCTCAGTGGATTAAGGCACCTGCAAGCAGGCACAGGGGCTGGGGGTTCGATCCTCAGGCCTGTAGTGC